TTTGGATGTTTTTGGTCCCTGTGATTAAAAAGGTAACCTTGTGAGGAGTTCTGTGGTGACAACAGATGGCAGCAGAACTGTACTCAAGTGTTGAATTTGCAGTGAGGAAGATGCCAGTATGTCTGCAGTAGGACCAGAAGAAGGCTGCTGTGTGCTTAAATACACTTCCCAAATCTGCTGTGAAAACCAGCCTTGAAGACACTTCAGCTTCTTTACTGACTCATTTTCAGTATTAACATATTCTGCTTTTAGAGCACTGCTGCTGTACATGCCCTGCAGAACCCATCTTCACTGCACCTGCCTTGCATACATATCCTCCTAAGGACTCATACACAATGCCTTCTTCCACCAGGGCTTCTCTTGACCTGCCTGGTCAGGGAGGCATTTCCAGAGTATTCCTTCTGACATTTTCACTAATTCAGTTCTAAGGTGTCGGAGTCCCTGCCCTACATATTGTGTCAGGAAACAGGCAGCTCAAATCAGCCTGTCTGATGGAGTCCTGTACCAGAAGGCAGGTGGCCTCTGGAGATACTGGCACTGTTTTCACCCTCACAGAGAACAAACAGCCAACTCATACACAGCATCAGTATCTGTGTAGTTCTAATTTCAATTGTCAATCTGCAGCAGCTGCAAGTGTGGTTTGATACCTCCCACATGATATTTTCTGTTTCTTTCTGTCCAGAAGTACTATGGTGCTGTGGCAGCCAACAAGTACAAAGAGAATGAAATCAAACACTTCTGCAAATACCATGGCAAGTCAGCAGAAAGAAAGACAGACTCCACAGAAGAAGAGGTAAGTAGGAAACTTCTGGTTTTGATGGAAGGTTATTCCTTTCCCTTGCTGTGGGGCATGGGTTATATCCCCCTGATGTCTGTGACACTCACACTCATGTATGTAGGTTGACCTTATGGACATAAAAACACCTGGACTGATCCAAGCCTGTGCTGGGTTGGGGGAAGGCAGAGTCACTTCTTGTGGCACCAATCAGTGTCCTATCCATCCTTTTCTGGAGGGGAAAATTTCATGCACCTAAAGCATCCCCTCTCTTGGCCTGGATTTGCCTTGTGTGCTGGATCATTAGAAAATAATTATATTTTTCTTTCCAGAGGACTGAAGGTTCTGTAGAACCCCACCAAGCTCAAACTTGCTGTCAAAGAGTAAGTGTGCAGAATACTTTGGTTTTAAGTGGAAGCATTTACTAGCATTTCTTTTATCATTTTGAATCAAGCTGGTTAAAAATTGTGACAGATCTGGAGACCTTGGCACAGAAGTTTAACCAACGGTGCATTCACAATCATGTCAATCAAATGGGCATACAGAGACTTGCACAGTTAGTTAGGAACCAGATTGTGGCATTCTTGCACTTGGCCCTCCCACAGGCTCTCTGAAGACTCCTGTTCCTCAAGGAGAACAAAACTGTTTATTTTTCAAAGCCTAACACCTCAGCAATTCAATTTCAGGAACTTCTAAGCCACAAAAGATGAGAAACACTGAATCTGTACCACAGTATAAATTAGTGAGAGCACCCTTGATATAGGGAATGGGAATTCCCAGGTTTATGTTCAGAACTGTCTAGGTTGGTAAATTTCAGTTTTATAAGACATAAATTACAGCACAGTGATTACTTCCACTGATCAAAACATTAGCTGAAATACTTTGAGTATGGCATTTGCTAATTTTTGTACTGACAAAAACATTTTGAAGTTTTGTTTGCACTGCCTTCTATATATTTAGAAAAATCTTTGTACATTTATACAGCAGCTGAAATATAATTTTTTTACCCAAACACAATATTTTTTTTTTTATCTTAAAGCCCAGAAGACCTTCCAAAGACTTCTACATTGAAGTTTCTCCTGGTGTCTATTCTGTCACAGCAATCTCAGAAGACATGGTGGAACAAACCCACGTAGTAGATGTCAATGCAGGACAAAGTATTGATTTAACTTTTGTTCTGTGATATTTGTTGTCTCCTGGCAATAGCAGGAATAAAACACGAGGCTCATTTTAATGCATTTAATGAACTGTAAATATCTTTTTCTTGTTAGCACTTTAATAGTAGCTTCCTCTTTGGTACTCCATTTTTATGGCCTGTATATTTGTTTTCTACTTAATGCAATTATATGCAGCTCACTTTGTACATTGATTTTTATAAATATTTGTACATTGTGTGCCTTTTAAATCTAATTATGTGACTGTAATTCCAGATTCTTCTGCTCTAAACAATTAAAGATACAATCAGTGGAATAAAATACATGATCAAGCCTTTGTGATGACAGCTTCTTTTGTATTATCCTCAGAAAGAACCCCCATGTCACAGTGCTGACCAGAGAAAGAATGACCCATGTGGTATGAATATGGGTGGACATTAGCTTCTGTAGGCTAGCACTGATTTTAGAGAAGCTGGCTCACCAGCCACTCTCCTATCTGTACTTTTGCTAGTCTGGTAAAGTGAAATACAAATGAAATTCACTACCCTAGAACCCCAACTCAGAAATGTGCTGAAACGTGTCAGCTGTTCAGTCTAGGCATGTGAGTTATTGATTCAAGTTCTGTCTCTTTGCAGACCATGCTAAACCCCTTTTCTGATGGCTCTGGGGTACCCTAAATTATCCAACTTAGTGCTGAGCAACTGCACACTGCAGCTTGGGGCCGAGTTCATATGCTTTAAACATGAGCTAACACTAACAGAACTCCCTGGATGCTTAACTTTCC